AGCACCAAAAATGTAGCTAACACAAACTGTCATTTTCTTCATGCCTAGGAGTTAGATGGACTCTAAAATTTCTCTTCTGGAAGGAGAACAAAAAATAAAATGTGAGGGAGGTATTGACAGTCCAAAGAGAGTCTAAATATACCACAGGGACAGCATAGGGTGACTGTAAAATTTTCTGGAGTCCTATTTGAACAAATCTGTGAAGTAACCATCACTGACAAAAGGACTACAGGTAGTGAAGGCAATTTTTAAAGTGGGAGAATCTCAGGCACCGAGGCTGAGAACTCTTTGTGATGATCATATTAGTGATGGATTGTATTCTGGTGATATATCAGTCAGGACTCTGCTGTAACCATCAGAAATTATGGCTACCTGGAGTAAAAATCACTTGGAAAACGGAATATGGTCCAAGATTGGTGCAGAGCCTAGGGGATGAGGCTTATGAAACTGGTTAAAGCCAAAGGACAGAAAGCCAGATCACCCTGCCCGGGCATTCAGGTTAGTATGGCAATGCTGATCCCACTGTGTTGGAAACTAGAGGCCACTTTAGCTGAAGCCCTTGTGACACTACCTCCTCTGCCTCCTCTGGATGCCCAGGGTTCCAGTCTAATTTCTTTACTTTGCATACTTCTTGTTACCCTTCCAGGGTTAAAGCTATCAAACCTCTGCCATCCAAGGCCTGAGGGACCACTGTGGAACAGGGGGCAGACAGATTGTAAGATCCAGATGTGGTTGATGATGACAAGGAAACAGAGTTTTCCATACAGCTGGGAAGTCACTCACATGAATTTACAGCAATGGTAACAGCATGCACAAGACCCATGGAAGCTCCAGTAAGATAAAAATTCAGCATAAAAGTGGGTGGGGAAGTGGGTAAGAAGCCCCAAACTTAGCTGAGGAACTATTGGCAACCAATAGCTCCTCAGGAAAGGGAGAGTTGGTTTTCTTTAAGGGTGTGACACTAGATACGTTAACCAGGTTCCAGTGGATGGACACGTAGTGAAGGACATTTGGGGACACAAACTTGACTTGATAGGCCTTTATATACATATTACATGAAACCTGGCAGGGGGGTTATAAGAGGGGTGTAGCTATGGGAAGGGGTCTAAACATGATCAAAATATATTGTATGGGGTTGGAGAGATGACTCAGCCGTTAAGGCATTGGACCTGGGATTGATTTGCAGCAGCCATGGGGCAACTAACCACTGTCTGTAATTCCAGTTCCAGGGGATCCAATACCCTCTTCTGACCTCCGCTGGCCTTGCATGACAAGGGTGCACTTGCACATATGCAGGCAATACATTCACACACATCAAATAAAAATAAAATATTTTAAAAAATATATTTAAAAATATATTGTATGAAATACACAAAAATTCAATTAAAAAGATGCTATCTGGAGTGTCTGGGTCAGTGTTGTTACCACACTTGCTTATGATGGTTTTGTTTGCTTGTTTTATCTGTACATACTCTTAGAAAGTGTCCAGTAAGGAACATATAATTTATTCCACAAGGTAGAGTCTGTCCTCTCAACCATGATATAATGCTCTGAGTTAACACACCTCCACTGCATATTTTTAAAATTTATTTTTACTTTTATGAGCAGTTTTCCCCCATGTATATAAGTACCCAAGTGTCTTGGGATGCCTGTGGAGGCCTGAAGAGGGCATTGGATCCCCTAGAACTGGAGTTAAGGACTATTGTTAGCCACTATGTGGGTGCTGGGAACTGAACCCAGGACTTCTGCAAGAGCAGTCAGTGCTCTCAACCACCAACCATCTCTTCAGTCCTCACCAAGTATTTTTAATATATATGTATACATAAGTATATAATATTTAAATTTGTGTATGTGGCTGTGCAAGTGGATGCACACATGTCTGTGTGGGTGGGCATGCCTATGCATTGTGTGGAGGCCAGAAAAGGGCATCTAATTTCTCAGAGCTGGAGCTACTGGCATTTGCTGGATGCCAGACTTGGTAGGGTCTCAGGATCACATGATTTTCCCAGTGTTCTTAATTGCTGAATCATCTCTCCAGCCTCACCATCGCATGTATTTGAAAGAAGTTACTGAATAGGCTGATGTCATTAACTGTTGCAATCAAGCAACCATATCCAGAGTTGAAAGATATCACAGCATAATCTGTGCAATGACTTCACATCCCTTCATGCACTCGGGGATGTCTCTAATTTGTTTTGTGAAAAAATCTTTTCATCTTATCTCCTCCTCCTGAGACTAGCAATTTTTCTTTTAAGTCAAGAAATATATACTGAATATGGGCTAAACACTGTTTAGGAAGTAACGTGCCCTCTGCCCTTGAATTTCTGACAGTCTACTTCTGATTTCAAAATTAAGTGCATTTCCCGAAGAGACAATAGACTGCTATAAAACTTTGTCAATATCTTTTCCTTAAAAGGCAAGATTGCTCATCTTTCTTAAAAGATTTATATTTTTGCTTTAGAAAAAAGCTTTTTCAGTGACTGAAGTAGAGATGCTCAGAAGTAGTTGTCACTTAAAACACATCTGACATGTAAGACATGAAATGGGAGACCTCTCCTAATGTCATTTATCTTATTAATCATGAATCTATAAATGCAAGAAAAACTAAAATGATTGCCTTTCTGATAATTGCTATTTCTCTTTATCTTACATCTTAGTGAGTTTTCTTTTCCACTTTGTCTATATTGCTCTTTTTATTAGCTTTCTTGTTGGTTTCCTGAGTATAGATTAGAAATAGGAAACAGCAAATGGTTTCTTTGGTAAGAAGTAACTTTGATGTCTGAACAGGATGCAATGGTACATACTACAGGTGGCAGATACCAGATACTGTTTTCAATTTTCTGTTTTCCTGTTATTACCATGGTGGTCCTTACTGTTAGATGCATATCACTGATATAAAATCCCAGGGACACAACACAGTGTGGTGGTACATGCCTTTAGTGCCAGTACTTGGGAGTCAGAGGCAGGTGAATCTCTGTGAGATTGGGACCAGCCTGGTCTATATAGTGAGTTTCAGGCTAGCTGGGACTACAGGGAGACTTTGTCTCAAACAAACAAACAAACAAACAAACAAACCGAAAAAAAAAAAACCCAACAAATCCTCCCCTAAACCGAAAACCGTAACCAAAATCCAAAAAAGAAAAACAAAAACAAAAACCCCTCAGGGGACAGTGGGAGGTGTACCAATCATACAACTAATCATGCATGACTTGTAACCATGGTTGCTCTAGGTCACAAACAAGTGGAGTTACTGACTTATATCCTGGACTATTGGGGTGAGGGAAGAAAATAGAGAGTTCAGATATGTTATATCAGGAAAATAATAATAATCCAAATAAGTGACCAATCAATAACTTATTATTCAAAACAGAACACAATAGATGGTGTAGGGAAACCACTAACACTTATTTTTGGACTATAAATATAAGCTGGGACTGTTTTTGGACACATCAGAAAAAGAACTAGAGTAATTTAAAACGAGTAAGAATGGTCCCTGGGTAGATAGCACAATCTGTTAAGTGCTTGGTACCCAGGCAGGAGAACCTGAGCATCTGCATCACTCTTAAAAAATTCTGCTGTGCTGGTATGCCTGTAGTATCAGCATGGGAAGGTGGAGTCAATTTAGCTGAATCTATGATCTTCAAGTGCAACAAGAGACCCTGCCTCAAGGGCTTTGGAAGGGCTAGGGAGATGGCTCAGTAGGTAAAAGCACTTGCTGTTCAAGCATGAGATCTGCAATCAAATCCTCAGCATCCACAGAAAGAGCTGAGTGGGGGATGGAGATGAAAGGCTTGTTGGAACTTGCTGGCCATTAGTCTAGATCCAGGTCCAGTAAGAGTCCATGTCTCAAGGGAATAAGGTGGAAAGTGATACAGCAAAAGACCAAGATCTAGTCTGTCCTGTTTGCGAGCGGGTGTACACTCACAAGTGCATACACCATACACACACATTAAAAAAATGAGGTGGGGAGTGACTGATTAAGCCATTTGCTGTTGACTGCAGGCCTCCAAACACATATGCATGCTTGCATGTGCACATGTACTTTCACAAATGCATATGTACACACATGCAAGCACACAAAAGGAGAAAGAATGAACATAGTTATTGTCCTGCAAGAACCTAGAGATACCAGATTTGATGAGGTTGATTATGGGATTTCCAGACATATTTGAGGCCTTCATAGAATTTCAAGTATTTGTGGTTATGATGCTTGATCTCCATTATCAACTTGACTGGATTTAGAATCACCATGAAACACACATCTAGGTGCGCGATGAGGGTGCTTCCAGAAAGGCTTGAGTTAAGCCTTCTTGAGTTAAGAAGGAAAACCCACCGGTGAATGTTGAAGGCACCATGGATGGGGTGAGGTACTAGACGGAATTAAAAGTAGAAAGTTAGCTAAACACCAGCATTCATCTCTCTCTGAGCCGTGACTGCAGATGCCCCAAGCTCTGGCTACCATGATTTCTCTGTCATGACGCACTGAGCCTTCCGGTTCTGAGCCAGAAAAAGCCCTTCCTTCCAAAGCTGTCAGAGCAAGAGAGCAGTAACTAATACAGTAGTCCTGCGTTCACTCATCCGTTGTTCTTGTTTCGCGTTGGCTTAGAAGAATTCAGGAACTTTTAAAGCTAGTGACTCAAACAAGCTGATCGCTAAACTGGGGGCTTGCTTAGGTGCTCCATGCCACGTCCTCCTCCTTGCTCTGATTCCTACTGATAAGGAGCCCTGAGATACAGGGGGAGGACCACTCAGTCCCCTCTTCTGGCAGGTGTTGGCCATCCCCTTCCCTAACATCAGGTGAGGTAGGAAGAGTGGTCACTAAGTAACTACACACAGAGACAGGTAAGGCCTCACTGACACAGAAGAGACAAGGCAAGGTTCGCTCAACCTCCCTCCCCTTCAGCACTACTGCGGCTGCGTTAGAGGTCGCGGCCCCCTCTTAAGATGGCGAGTGCTGCCTCAGCAGCCTCCTGCCCTCCCTCATCATGGTTGCGACCGGACCCGCCTCCCTGAGCTCCGCAGTCATGTGACCCGCACAATGGCTGACAGCCCACTCGAGGCTTCCCGGCAACGCCGAGCGAAAGCCATGACCCTCGCCGCGGGCTCGGCGGGCCGTGTCGCTGTGCACTTGCTGTTGTGCACGCTGCTGGCGCCCGGGGGCGCGTACGTGCTCGACGACTCGGACGGGCTGGGCTTGGAGTTCCAAGGCATCGGCGCGATCAGCGGCGGCGGGGTGAGCGCGGAGGAGAGGAAGCGCGGGAGCGCGGGGAACGCCGGCCGCCGGGTCACACAAGCCCCCTGGCGTTGCCGGGAGAGGGCAGTCGCCCTCAGGGCCGACCTCGCGGCACCTGTAAGATGAGCCCAGGCAGGCAGTGAAGCTGAGGCTTGGGACACTCGGGGCTCAAGGGCTCAGGTGCTCTGGGCGACAGGTCCCAGTGGGTGGGGCTGTCGGGAAAGGGCAGCGAGCCGAGGAGGACGCCCCAGCGGGTTGCCAGAGAGGTTCTCTTGCCCCTAGGGAGGTGGTTGTTGGGGCTAGAGTCGGAAGCCTTAGAACCGGTGCAGAAGAGTCACCAAATGTGCTGGATAAGGTGTAGGGGGGGCGGTATGCAGGCTGTCTCAGGTGCAGAAGTCAGGTTAAAGTGTAGGCTGTGAGTCACCAAGGTTAAAGTCTAGGCGCTGTGTGTGTGTGTGTGAGATGGGATGGGAAATGCTGTCTCAGGTGCAGAAGAGTCACTAGGTATGCTGGTTAAAGTATAGGTTCTTTTGAGAGGTTTCTCCTGATTCAAAGATCTCAGGAGTGGGAAGATGTTTTTTAAAAGTAATTTTAGAGTAAGTTAGGCATACAGCAGAGAGCTCTTATATACCTCATTCCGTGGGGAGCGGAGAGTGGGGACTAATGAGCTAATGCATTTTTTTTTGTGCTATGATTCTCCTTTAAAAAAATAAATAAATGTTTCCTATAAGGCACCAATCCTCCTGATACCTCAATTTGTGGTATTAAACCTAATCTCATAGGTTTTCTTTAGATTTTTTATTCTTATTTAACTCACTTTAAAATAATTAAAACAATCAATTTATAACCAGGTGTTGTACACATGCCTTTAATTCTAGCATTGAGGCGGCAGAGGCAAACAGATCTCTGAATTGGAAGCCACACTAGTCTACATAGTGAGTTCCAGGCCAACCAGGGCTACATATGAGACCCTGTCTCAAAAAGAAAAATCATTTTATAAACTAGAGCAGGAAGTTCTTACCTAATGCAGTAAACACCCAATTATTAGTGTCTTTAAGTGTACTGCAGCACTCATTTTTGGAGCACAGTCAATAATGAGGATGATTGCAATATTATATTTGCATCCCAGTTTAAGCTTTTCTTTTTTGTGGAGCTCTGTTATCTAGCACAGTTTGTGTTTAGATTGCTGTCACTTAATCTGGTATTTATAGGAGAGCATTTTGGAAAGGTACTTAGAATGTGGGCTTATGTTTGTTGAAGCCATTCTGGCCTCTGACATTCACTTCCTATTCGATTTCTCCTTGCTTCAGTTTCTTTTCTTTAACATTTTGGTTGTTAGCCTTAGCCTTTAACAGCTGCTCCAGTTTCTTTTTTTAATCAAAACACCTTATATGCTTGTATGAAATTCTCAATAAATTTTTTTAATTTAAAAAATACTATAAGAAACTATTTATTGAGAATTTTATACATGCATATAAGGTGTTTTGATTAAATCCACGCCCACTCCCTCCCCTTCAACTCTTCTCGTATCTCCCCACTTTTTTCCTGTTTTTTCCTGACAACTTTGTGTACTCTTTTTTTTTTCTTTAAATGGGGCTTTTTGCTGTTCTAACATTTCCTGCTCTGAAGAGGTAACTCTAAAATCTTTTAGAGATTAGATAAGAGCTCCCAAATACTTTTGATATTTTTGGCCTTTGGAACAGAGTATGTTGCTAAGAGGCCCAAGGACATTTTGACTTTTAGCCAAGAAACTGGCTGCTTTTCTTTGGAGTCTTTTAACCCTAACTGTCTAGCCAATTTCTACCTCCTATTCTTATCACACTATCCTCTGAAGAGGTTACCCAAATTGTCAATAGGTAATAGGGATGCAGACCGCTCTGGCTTCTTCCATGCTGAAAAGGGATGCAGGGTGAGGCAACTGGAGTACCCCTTCAGTGGGTCTGTCTAAAAGACTCCCAAATTGCATAACACTTATCCCTGGCGGGGGTGGGGGGGGGAGAAAGTCCTTGAATTCTGAATTGGAGATGTGAAGGAGAAGTAAAGGCAAGAGTAATAAGCATTACAAGTTCTAGACAGGGAACTTGAAAAAACATCAGAGCAGGGCAATTTTCAAATATTCATGAGAGTCCATTGGAATTTCTTGACAAGGGCTTCCAAAAGCATCCCTCTATTGTG